TCAACGCATTGTATACTTTAAACTTATACAATGGCACATGTCAATTATATCTCAGTAAAGCTGATGGGGGAAATCTAGGTGGAGTTCAGTGACAGTTGGTTCTTCACTAGAGATAAGGAGCTGGCAAGAATGGGTGAAAATCAGACCTCAGGGGATTAACGTCACATTAAGTGAAACCCCTCACTATATATGAACAAAGTCAACTCAGAGAGTGTGAGTGAGTTAGGCATGGCCACATCCTTGTTAATGACCTAACCAGGTCAGGCCCCCTATCAGCGTAATCCTGTTGTAGCCCCACTTCCTCCCTCCACGCAGTGACTGGCTATTTTCCCCACCTTTCCCATGACCCTCTCAGGGGAGAGACCTACAGAGATAGCTAGAGTAGGCCCTGAAGGAAAGTTTTCACTCTCTCCCTGCTGTTCCATTTTTGATAGTTGGAGAAGCTTTCCTTTCCTTTGAGAAAGATGAGATTTTCATGTGATATCCTGGCACTAGGACCACCTTGGTGGCACTGTCCCAGGGAAGGAGGCTCTCAAGAGGCCAGTTTATAGGTAAAGATCTAAAAGCAAAAGGAATTAAAATTAGTGATCCAGGCTAAAAGTGAAAACAGGCCTCAGAAACCTAAACTGCTATTCTCCCATGAGGTTATAGCCCCTGTGGGGGACAAGCTGTTGTGTCACAGAGACCTTCTAAGGACATCACCTCAGCCAAAAGTAGTGTTTCACAGTGGGAACTTCCCATTCTAATGCCTCAGTGGTGAGTGTTGCCATCTCTTTAAATTGTCACTCCCGGGCCCTACCCCTTGAGGCATCCAGAGAGATAAGACACTTCCCTGTGTGCTGGGAAGTAGGTCAGGGGCTTCTGGGCCAGCCTCAGAGCCTGTCACTGATTCTGCAGGAAAGGTGAGCACCAACAGAGGAAGGGTGCGGGCCATAGAGGAGGAGCTGTGAGGACCTGGAAGAATTCAGTGCCTGTAAGAAGCTTGCTGAGTGTGCACCTTGGTTCTAGTAGGTACCAGGAAGGGGAGCGGGATCTAGCAAGAGTAACTCCACACTCCCAGGTGTGTAAGGATGTCTGTGTTTCACACACAGTAGCTCAGGAGCAGCAGCAAGTATCTCCTGCAGCCTGGATGCCCACCTTCTTACTTGGGCCTGTGCACTGCACACAGGGACTCGGTGAGCACAGAAAGTTCCATTGTGTTAAACGATGACTGATTGGCTGGAACCACTTTACCTGGAGAAGTCTCAGCTTGGGGGCAGGATGTCAGGAGTTGGAGGGGAGTGTCCCAGTCTCTCCAGGACACTGATCATATTTAGACACATTGAGACAGGACAGTGAGTTTACTTCCCAAAAGCATTGTCAGAGGCTCCAGATCACCTGGGACATATGTTTCCTTTCCAATTTCCAAGACAAAAATTCCAGTTCTGTTCTTGTACCTCTCCCAGGTAACCCACCCTAACTGGATCCCTAGTTCACTGAACAAATTTTCAAGTTCTTGTGGTTTTCAAAAGTCTCCCCTGGCTTCTGAAGCTCCTGGGAAATTGAAGTATCTACAGATTTTATCACATAGAATTACTAGGGAAAATTTAATGTCTAAAACTTTCTCATTGACATGAGTCTTAAAATTTCCCTTCTGCCCTTTGGATTTTATGTCCCTGAAAAAACAAAGTCAAGCTCATGAAATGTTCTCACAATATCATTCCAACCCCAGCCCAGCCCTTCCAGTGTTTTTTCCTTCAATTCTGAAGTTCAGGGGAAGCAGGAATAATGACTTTGTCACTGTGTTGTCACCAGCTCTTTGGAGTTGAGTTGACACATCATAGGTAGTTATACCTATTTGAAGAATGAATGAATGGTGTTTGGGACTCTTTCAGGTAAACATGGTAGAACAGAAGATGGCAAGAGATGAAGAAAGTGTCTATGGTAAGGACATGTGTACTGCATACTTGCTTCCAGGTATGAGCCCTGGATAATAATGGAAATGGGCAAACTCAGGACTGATCAGGTAACCCTTGAGATGTCTCGGGTAAAACAACAAGAGCCCTAAGATGTGCATATTAGTTGGGTCCCTGCCTCTGTCAAGCTGGGAGAATATGAACTTCCTTGACTAGCCTGGACCTCCATTCCCCAAGTGTAAAATGAGGATAATAACCTACTGTGATCTCCACAGAAAAAGATGTAGAGGGTGTTAGATCATGCACTAGAGGGAGTGTGATCCACCAGGTAGAATGTTAGAGAACATGGAAGGTTAAACATGAGTTTTATATCATGCAGCAGGATTACGAGGGAGGGGAGGCAAGAGGAGAGAGAGAGGGAGAGAAGGAAGAAAGAGGTGATTTCATTCAATCCTCTCAACAGCCCCAGGAGAAACAACTCTACTATTATTTCTATTTTTGCACAGAGGTTTAACACTTGATTGGCAACTTCCAAGATGGCATAACTGACCCATGAAAGAGCAGTGAATGAAACCCAGTGTGTCTGGGACTCCAGACAGCCTTTCACCCCCAGGCCTACTGCCTTCTCCTGCCCATCTTCCATGGCATCTGGGAGAAGTATGACAGAGGCCACTGAAGCCTCAAATAGGGACAGCTCACAGGTTGTGGGGGACCAGGGATAATGGGTGAGACCATACCTGGAGTTAGGAAGGGGCATCCTCTGGAGCAAAGTTGGAGAACATCTTGCACTCAGGCTGTTTAAGGCCCGCTGAATCATTTGATCTGGCCCTGCCAAGGCAACAGTAGGCAGGACTCAAAATTCAATAAATCTAGGTGCTTTTTTCATAGCAACATAAATTTATATTAAGTAAATTATATTAACCAAATCCTATACAATGAAGAGCTAATATGCTAATTAGACTGAACAGCAGAATGACCATCTGGATCTTCTGGATGAAGCTGGGGCTGTGAGGGCCAGCTGAGGCAGCCAGGGCTGTGAGGGAAGAGATCCTTGCATGAATTTCATGCATCGGGCCTCTAGTTATGTTATAAATATGCAAATAGCCCTTGGCAGAAAAAAGGTTCCCCACCCCTGCTCTAGAGTAAAGCCCAGCAGGTGTTGAGCATCTACAGATGCATGTGGTGAAACCAGAGATGACAGGAATAGGTGCTGAAGATCCCCTGGAGTTCAGAAAGCTCTGACCAATGACCTCAGTAAGGCTTTGGTGGGAAAGCAGAGTTGAGACATTGTTGTTCTTGTTCAAAGGCCTCAGGGGATCCAGGTAACCAGGATACGTTGCTTTAAGATTTGGAAGCTCACAGATCCCTTGTCCTCCAGGTTCGGAAGACACCATGCAGGCCCTGCAGAAGCCCCAGCTGAGGCTCATCTTGGTGGGGAAGACAGGGGCTGGGAAGAGTGCCACCGAGAGCAGAATCCTGAGCCACAGGTGCTTCCTCTCCAGACTCACAGCCACTTCAGTGATCAGAACCTTTGAGGTGGGGCGTTGCAGTTGGGACAGGTGGCACATGGAAGTCATGGACACCCCAGACCTTTTTAGCTCCCTAAGACCCAAGACAGACCCGGGGGGCCGGGAGTGAGCCCACTGCTACCTGCTGTCAGCGCCTGGGCCCCACGCTCTGCTCCTGGTCACTCAGCTGGGCTGCTTCACTGAGCAGGATCAGCAGGCCATGAGCTAGCTCAAGGTCCTGTTTGGGGACAACGTGGTGGTTCGCACCATCGTGCTGTTCACGCACAAGGAGGACCTGGGTGGGGACTCTGCAGGATTTCGTGTGCCACACTGACAACCCTGCTCTGCGGGCTCTGGTGGCTGAGTGCGCGGGCTGAGTGTGCTTCTTTGACAACAGGGCAGTGGGCAGGGAGCAGGAGGCCCAAGTGCAGGAGCTGGTGGTGCTGGTAGAGCGCCTGCTGCAGGATCATGCGGGTGCCCTCTACTCCAATGAAGTGTATCACCTGGCACAGACACCAGCCTTCTCAACCCCTGACGAACAACTGTGATGGGTGGCAGAGGGGCTGGTGGGCTGCATGTGGAGGCGACGAAGGCGGGGCCTGCTGGGCGCACTGTGGGACTGGGTGATGGCTTGAAAGCTGCGCACGTCCCCGCTGCTGGGCGTCCTGTTCAAGCCTGGAGACTGCTCTCCAGAGACTGGTTCCAGGCTGTGGAGGAGATCTCTCCTGAGTCACGGAATGTATCTAGGTAGGACTTGGACTCATTACCTGACAACCACATTCTTCCCTGGTGTCTGTGCCTCTGAGACCCACAGGTTTTCCTTGTGTCCCTCACCTGGCAGTAACCTACCAACCCAAAGACAAAAATCCTGTCCACTCCCATCTCCTCTCCCCCCACAAAAATAAACAACCCCAAAACAAACCAGCCCATGGGACCTGGCCCTCCCGGAGTTCTTTCCTGAGCTCTTCACTTACTGAAGCCTAAACTGTTGATGCTCTTGCCTGTTTTCCACTGACCTCAGGCTGCTGTGGGGGTCCTGAAATCATCCCTGGTCTTCCCAGGGGATCAAAGGCCAGAGCCAACACAAAGCCTCAGTCCAGACCCATTTATTTCAATTGAATATGAATTGTATGAATAAATGCCTTGGACATTCATGTTGTGTTAACGGAAATCAATATTTGCAGATGTTTGTTTATCTGCCTTATATGCCCCTTGAACAAAGACACTGCTCTGCCATTCCTAACCCCTTCTGCAAAAACCACACGCCCAAGTGCAGACACACACACACACACACACACACACACACACACACACACACACACACATTGGGGTGTGTGCCCATAGGAATACAAAGCACTTAAGAACTGTGCTTGTCCCAGAAAGGCCATCTTCCTTTGCGTCCCCATTCAGACCCTTCAGCAACTTGAATGCAGAGGGTTCTACAAGTTCAAGGAAAATTGAACTAGAGACTCAAGTTCCTAGGAGCCACTGAGGCCTCCAGAAAGTCTACTTCCAAAGAGGAGTCTTCTCACTGGCTGACACACTGACAGGGTGAGCACGGGCTTTTCAAGTCCCAGGTAAATATAAAGAAACGGAGCGGTTTTGACATTTTTGTTTCAATATCAAAGTAAAGGGCAAACAGGTCTTAGTGGGCTGCGAATTGGTGATACAAGATGCGGTAAAGAGTCATTCCTCTGTTGCATGCAGGTCTGGGGGAGTCAGCTCTCTGGTCCAGATTAAATGAGCCAGGTTAGCACGGCTCTCCTGTCCACCCACACTTGCACTGCCCTCAGTGTCTCTACGCTCACAAACAAACTCAAGCTCACCTCCAATTCTGCTGGGTAATCCAAAATGTCTTCCCTACAGTATCCTCTCCCTTGTGTCTGCACAGACAAACTCTCCCAGGGGCCTTCACATCACTAAAGAGACAGGTAAAAGGGGGAAATCATCTGCAACAGCAGAGTGCATATGGGGGTGAGGCCCACAGCCCTGCCTGGAAACCATTGGGAACACAAAGGGGAAAGCCAGTGACAAATGCTGAGACTGGACATTTCCTCTGCTGCCAAGGGCATTGTGGTTCGAGGGTTGTGCACAGATGCCAGGGAGGCACTGAGAGGAATTTGGGCTTGTCCACTTTTCTGATGAGTTCTTGTCCTGAGGACTTTTTACCCTTTTATTTTTCTGATCAGCTTTCCAGGTGCATTTTTAATGTGCTGATGCATCAAGGTAAGTGTATAGGGGAGTTTTGGGTTATGCTTTGGTCTGTTTTACTGTTTTGTTTTATCTTTGTTGTGTCTGGCTTTAATGGCTTTTTGTTATTTTCCCCTGACTTCATCTGCCCTTGGGTTTAGCTGGCACAAATCACATGAATTGGTTCTTTGTGCTCTACCTCCCAGACCAGAGTGATTAAACTATGTATTCTCTGGTGAGGGAGGAGACCTACAAAACCATTTGCTCTCAAATGCTCTTGTTTGGGGAAGATAAGGTCTTGTGATTAACAAGCTGGCTACAAGCTTCCCAAACAGTTAATTTTCTCATCTCAGTTTCTCTAATCCATTTTTCCAGGAGTTTTTCTTGCCTCTTACTATCCTGCCTCACACGGACCACAGAACCATCTTGTTGGAGAAGCCTGCTGCTTCACCATCACGGTGCTCAGAGACGTGGACTGAAAAAAATGTGCATCACCAGTGGTGCTAACACTTGACACAGGCAGGAATTCTCATTTGAACTTTCCTAAGTTGAGTCTGTGGACTCTTCATAATGTGTTATTGCCTGATTATACCAATTCTGTAACTTCTTTAGTTTGTTAGCATTGTGGGTATTGGTGATGAGTGAGCCAGGAAGATGCTAGTGGTTGCTATCACAGTATAACAAACCATCCCAAAGCCTAGTGGTTTAAACCAACAACACTCTTTATTTTTCTCATGAATCTGAAATCTGGGCAGGATGCAGGGGGGTGGCCCATCTTTGCTCTTTGCTGCTTCATCTGAGGTGGCTCAGTTGGCAGCTGGAGAATCTGCTTCCATGTTGCCTCATTTGCATGGCTGGCAAGTTGGTTCTGCTGTAGATGAAAGACCAGCCAGGGGAGTGGGCCAGTGACTTCAAGTCCTCTTCATGTGGCCTCTCGATGGGCAACCTGGGCTTCCTCACCACATGGTGGCCAAGAGCCAAGCCCACAAATCCTAGGGAGCAAAGAGGCATTTTCCCTATCTCACTAGTTGTCAAAGCAATTGCAAAGTTCTTTGAATTTCACGGTAGAGGAAAAATCCTATCATTCAATAGAAGGAAAAATAAACTCAGATTACAAGGAGAATGGGTGGGATAGAATAGATTGTTCTAGTCATCTTTGGAAAATAGAATTCACCACATTAACAAATCATAGTAAATTAAGAGACAAAAATAAAATTTACATCATTTCCAAAACATATTCCATATTTTTGAAAGTGTATTCCGAACCATATCTACAACATCTTGAAATATATTCCTTTCAGCTTCTTTCTCAATATTTTTAATACGTTCATTATAGCTCTCCAATAAGGAATTTTTTTTCTCCTTCGCTTTTTGCTCTGGTATTTTTCCCTGAGCACATTGCTCTTCAACTAGTTTAGTTTCCTTCTTCAATTGCTCAGCATAGATTTTCTTCAAGGCTTCTGCCTTGTTTTTCAGCTTTTTGTCTATGTCCTTATAGATGGCATCAGAAAAGTGGGCCCCTCCGTTCTTCCCCACCATTTCCTCTATCAGATCCACCAGCTCTTGCAGTTGAGCTTCCTTCTCAGCCTCATCTACACTTCGGTTATTGAAGGCACAGCAGCGGTTCCCACACTCCTTGATGATGTTTTGCAGGTTTACGTCTGAACCTTCCATAAACTCAGGCAGTGTCTGATCACCCAAATCATCTTTGCGAGTGAACAAGACGATCATGTGCTTCATGACCTCCTTCCCAAAGATGACCTTGATCAACGCAACTGTTCTCTGCTCCTCCTCCGTGTAGCGGCCCAGCTGTAGAACCAGGATGATGGCGTGAGGCCCAGGGAGGGAGAGGAGGACACACCTGCTGATTTCCTCACAGGTGCTCTTCAGTTTCTCCTTGGTGTCAAAGAGCCCTGGGGTGTCCACGACACAAAGGTCCTTCCCCTTCCAGTGTCGCTCTTTTCTCTGACATTCCTTGGTAACAGAGTAAGGAGCAACTTTAGATTTAAATTCTTCTCTCCCAATGATGGTGTTTGCTGTTGCACTTTTTCCACTTCCAGTTTTCCCCACCAGAACAATCCTCAGATCGTTGTCCTGAAGGCCAGCCATGTTCTTTCAAGAGGCTCTGGGTGCAGGTACCAACAAGACCTTAAGGAAGGAAATAAGAAGGGGAAAGGGTACTTAGGTAAGTGGGGACCATTCCCAAACCTCTTTTCTTCAGTCTTGTCCTCCCTGAAAATTTGTAATGGTATATTATTCATATGGAAGAAATAACAAATTTTTCCCACAAAGGAGTACAATGTCCAGGTGCTTTCACAGGAGAACTCACTTAAACCTCTATAAAGCTGATCATCTCAATGTTATGTGAATTATTCCTGATCATATAAAAAAGGGGGAAATCTTTCCATTCTTTCTCTGAATCAAATGTGATATTGATCCTAAAGCTAACAGAGATTTAACCAATAAATAAAGCTACAGGTGCATCTCATTTGGAAATATTCATACGAAAATTTGTTGTTACAACACATCTTATTAATAGATGAAGTAAAAAATTATCTAGTGCAGTCAAGACATTTGACTGAATTCAAAACTAATCCATGTGTAAAGCATTTTATATATTGAAAATAATTATCGAACGTCATCTTATATAACTATAAATTTAAATTTTTTATCATCACTTTCTCCCTATAGCTGAGAAAGAGTGGATAATAAAGTTAAAATAGCAGGTTATAAAGTTTTTGCATGAAGAAAAAGTAGGTACTTCTCTAACATTATTTTATATAACTGTAAAGTTAAAATTTTTGTCATCACAATTTTTTTTTATGCAGGTGAAAAATAGTGGAGTATAAAGTTCATTTGGATGAAGAAAAAAAGAAGGTTACTCAGCACCATCGAGAAAAATTTTGAGGAAGGACTACCTCTACCAGGAGTCAAGCATTACAGTGTCTATGATTACAGAAGTGTGATGTTGTTGTACGGATAGAGAGAACAGAGAACCAAAAGCAGAAAATTCAGAAACAGACCAAATTAATCAAACTCTTTATATTCAATTCACTTACAATATTCTACATTTAGATTCAATATGGCAGCATACCACATCAAAGGGACCAAAGATGTTGTAATAAAGTAACTTTGGGGTAATCATATAACTATATAGAAAAAAAACCCACATAAAATTGCATCCATTGTCTCATGCCAATCAAATTGCAAGCAGATTAGAAGTTTAAATGTAAAAAAAAATGCATAAAAAGAAAAGAAAAAAATATGGATAAATTATTGTAACCTGGAAGTAAGCAAAATATTTCTAAGATTTGAAATTGAGTAAGGAAAATAAATAATAAGTGTGATTACATAAAAATATTATAGATAATGTGAGACAAAAGATATCTTTGAAAAATTAAAGCAAAAATGTCAAATTCAGGAAAGTAATATTTTTCAGTTTAAAACAAAAGAGGTAAATGTTCCTGTTATACAAAAAAAATTAAAAAGTACAGAAACAAAATACCAGCAACTTGACAGAAAAAGGAGCAAGAGATGGGAATAAACATTCAGAGGAAAATGAATTTAAATGAACCTTAAATATATCAAAAGACATTAACATACACTCAGAGAAAAATGAAAAAACACAAAAAATAAAGTCACTAAAATATTAATTAAATTACACTTCTATTTCTGAGGTGAGATACTATTTGACACCTCCAGGTTTGGCAAAAGTCCAAAGGTTTGCCAGCATAATCTGTTGGCAAAGGTATGAGGGAAGCAGGTCCTCTCCTGCATGGCTGGTGAGAATGGAAAAACAGTCCAAACCCTACAGAAGGGAATTCAGCACTGTGCTGCAAAAGTACATATGCATTTTCTCATTCATTGTCAATCCCCCATTTTAATATTTATCCCTTAATTACACTGACAAAAATGTAGAAAGATGACACATAGTGTATTTATTGCATCATTATTTGTATTAGCAAAAGACCAAAAACCTATCAAATGGCCATTAGTAAGGACTGGTTGAATTACCTAAGACAAATTCACACATTGAGGGACTATTCAACTGTGAAAAGGAATGCGTCTCTCTATACAAGCATGGAAAGGTCTCCTGGATACATCATTAAGTGGGAAAAAAAAGTGGAGAAAATAATATAGAGTTGACCTACGATTCTTATAATAAGGAGGAATATGAGCTACATATATAAAATACAGGACATATATTTTTCATATATATGAAAAGGCAATAGCAGGATACTCTAAAATCTAAACCAACAAAAATTTACTTACCTGGGATGGGAGAAGCAGGGTGTAGGGAACAAGGACAGAAGCTGGAAACTGGATTTCTTGGTTACACTAAGATTTCATAGATTTGAATTTGAGACCATGTAGGTAGCTTACATAATTATACAAAAAACTATATTCCAAAATACTAAACCAAAATGAAATGACAAACAAACTTATTTGTATATTGTGGGGTGGATGAACCATATAAGGAATTGGTCCAAGACACTTAAAAAAGCAATAATTTCATTGGCCATATTTAGTGTTATTAACATAAGTTTAACAAAAAGAAATAACCTGAAAAAATAAAATTGTTTTCAAAAATCCTATTCTTGTGTGTGTGCAGTTTTGAAGTCCATTGAAAACGAATAGATATGATAATGAGCCCAGTGACAATGACCACCCTGTGGTTTTCAAATGCCGTTTCCCACCAAAAAAATAGGGTTTTATAAGTAAACTACTGACTCTAGGAATCAATTGCTGCCTTGGGAGTGTGCTAGGAAAGCATCTTCTTTTTATGAACATTAACGAATAAAGGGAAAGAATTGAGCATTTATCTTGTCTTTCAGATACCACTGTACTTCATGGAAATGAGAGAATGATTGTACGGAACTTTCTTTTTATACGATTTTTCTATCTAATAACAAAGGGAAGAATGATAGAATTTGATATCACCACTGTTAGGTTTGATTCAGCAATTGCATCAATACCCCTCCCCCAGTAACTGGCTTTTCAGGCTATTTCACTATGGACTTTCCCTTTGCTGAGACCACATTTCACTTGCAGTGACCACATTCCATTATCTCCCCTCTGGGTATGCGTAAAGAAGTCTCTGTCCAGAAAATGCCTGCCAAAAGTTCTTTAAAAGCCCCTGACTCCTGTCACTGGGGGCTGGAGCCATCCAGGCTCAGCCACCTGGTGTGAGGATGAACCAATAAATTCCTAATCCCTCACCATGCTGGCCTCCTGCATTCCTTCTTCGGTGACCTAACAATCACTTCTGACCCTTAATGAAATTTAGGCCATCATTAATGTCGATTACTGTCAAAGAAAGTGAGACAACTAAATATTATATGCCTTCTGAGGGAAATTTCAGCTGAACCTATGATGTATTTCCGACCAAATAGTCAAACCTGAGTCAGATCAAGACTCACCTTAAATATAACTTCACCCAAAACACTGGAACTAGAAGAGCAGGTGAAATGACACCATGAGAATGTTAATCAACAAAATGTAAACTGCCCGGTTCTTTTGGGATAAAGACTTCCTCCTTCTTACACAGAGAAATTTTCCAGAAAGAAACAGGGAAGGTGAGAAAGCTATATATTAAATTAAATATAAGAGAAACCAAACAATTGCAATTTATAAATATTAATTAGATTCAACTTCAAACAGTTTTTAAATTTATGAAACAATCGGAAATCTGAAGGCAACTGGCAACTTTGTAAAAAATTCTATCTGCTTTTGAAGTCTGATTACGGTCATATTTTTAAATGGTTTCAAATATTTACTGATAAAATGAAACAATGATATTTGCTTCAAAATAATGCAGGATGGCTGGGGAGTGGTGAGTATAGAGATGAAGCAACATTGGCATCACTTAATAATTGTGGAAGCTTGGTCTAGGTACATGGAAGTTCCTTGTATTGTTCATTTATCTTTGAGTAAATTAACATTTTTCAACAATAAAAATTTGATATGTGTGTAATATAACCACGGCTGACATTCTATACCAAGCACCCTGATAATTTTTTGTATATTATCTCACCTACTCCCCCATAGCCTGCAAAAAGGTCATTTTATTATTCTAACTTTTTATTTTTTTTTAATTTTTTTTTAACATATTTTATTGATTTTTTACAGAGAGGAAGGGAGAGAGATAGAGAGAAACATCGATGAGCGAGAAACATCGATCAGCTGCCTCCTGCACATCCCCCACTGGGGATATGCCCGAAACCCAGGTACATGCCCTTGACCGGAATCGAACTTGGGACCCCTCAGTCCGCAGGCCGACGCTCTATCCACTGAGCCAAACCGGTTTCGGCTATTCTAACTTTTTAAATAAAGACATTGATATGGCTTGAAAATGCTGAGACACTTGTCAAGATCGCAGTGCTAACAGATATAGGGCAGAACAAGGCATCAAGTTCAAAGTCTATCTGACCACGACCTTCCCTCCTAACCACTGCACACAATGGCCTCCTCTCAGTGTCTTCTCAGACCCAGGATTCTAAAATTACATTGATTCAAAGCTAGATCAAGAGAGGGCAGGGAAGAGAGTCCACACTCTTTCCAGACAGAACACTTTTAGGAAGCCTGCAACTAGGTCCATTAAGTGGAGGGTTTCATATACATTGTTCCTGCAGAATAGCCATCCTCTAGCCATGAAAAGGATTCTGCAAACTGCAGTCCAGATTTCCTCTGGCCTTAGTGATGTGGGCAAGCCCTAGAGTTACCACACTCTCTGGGACCCTGCTTCTTTTTCAGTAAAAAGAGGGAGTTAGACAGGGTGTTGTCTAAATTGCCTTAAAGCTCTAAAGGCCTGCCTTGGGGACACTCAATTTACTGTCCAGGGAAAAGGAAGGCTTGCCAGGCAGCCCTCAGTGTCTATCAGTGCAGCAAATGCATGAAGGTGCACCAGTCAGCACAAATGTGTCCTGTTCAATATGAGACATGTAACATCTATAATAATAAAACTGTAATATGCTAATTAGACCGAATGATGTTCAGACTACCTTGTGGATGAAGCTGGGGTTGTGAGGTTCCAGGCAAGCCTCCCTGGCTGGGAGGGCCGGCCGAGGCAAACAGCCCGGGGTCGGGGCGGGGGGCTGCGAGGGCCAGCCAAAGCAGGTAACCTGGCCTGCGAGGACCAAGACCCTTGCACAAATTTTGTGCATCAGGCCTCTAGTTGTACTAATAAAGCTCCTGACTCCCCTCCCTACCCTCCTTCACTACCCTCTGACAGCACCCTCCTCCCCCCACCCCTCCACCCCCTGCTGTGCTGCTGGCACAGAACCTGGTCCTTCCTGGGACCAGAACCCATACCGTGAACACGCCATGGACCTGCTGCCCAAACAATGCTAGTGCTCAGGGCTGCTTCTCAGCCAGACTCACCTTCTTTTCAACCTGTGGATGAGTTCTCAAATGTTCTCCAAAGACACTCTTCCAGCTGCTGCTTTTGTTTTAACTGTGAAGGAAAAGTGTTTACAGTCTCTTAAACCACTGAGCCAGGAAGCTCAGATTGGGTGGAGCCAGTAGAGGAACTGTTTTCTTTTAAAGAGACAGTAATATTCCCCTAATTTGGTGGGTGCTTTCATTTTGCCAAGTTGAAAATTTTCCTCCATCTGCTTGCTCTTGAACCAAAATTACCAAAGCTATATTTGGTGTTTTGAGTTACAGTAGTGGATCCAAAGGCCCTTATTAAATGACATGAATCTTGCCCCCAAAAAGCCAGGCACAGTGTCTATCACCTTCCCTGGTGCGTTGGGAGACTGCGGGGTCATTCTGGAAGAAGAAAGTTGGACATAGGACTTGGTGTATCCTAGAATCTTGCTGGTGATGGTATAAAATGGGTTTTGAGTCTACTCTTTCAGGAGGGTCCCAAGTTACTCATTCAGAAATTAACGAAACTCAGGTACAAAGCCCAAGGTATTAAACCATTGGGCACCAAGTAGAAATGAGGAAGGAGAGGCCTGGAGAAAGTTTTCCAATGATCACAATCTCTTTATTTTTGTTTGTTTGTTTTTTCATATGTTTCTTGCACAGTTGAAAGTCTACATTACATATAAAGATGCACCCAGGGAGTAGATGCTTCCTTCTCTCCCAGTCTTCCTACCTTCTCCCTCTCCAGGCCCAGAGAGAGGCAGCTTATCCTAGATTTACCAGTGGATGGATCCAAAAGGATCTAGAAATTGTTTTCAGGTGAGAGACAGGCTGTTGAATCTCTCATGGTTGACAAGATGTTCTAGTTCTCTGTTGCATCACCACAAACAGATTAAATTTTGATTACACATTTTGCTTCACTAGATTGAGAAAGTGGGTTAGTCAATGTTTAAGCTTGAGGATAGGTACTAAGTGGACCAGATGTGCCAGGAAGTAGAGGACAATATGGTTACTACCCATGGAGGGAAGCAGATAGATTTGGAAATGATGGTGTAAATGGCCATATTATTGGACCAATTATTGGTATTGACTTTGCTCCCCTTGAAGGAACCCAGGTAACAGTTTTTCTATTTCCATTAAAGACACAGATCAGGACCAACTACATAGTTCATAAAGTCTAGCAAAAAAGGGAAAATACCAAGCCCATTGTTTAAAAATCATGAAGAATTTGAAGATGACATTACAGAGTTTTAAACCCTCTAAGCACAGATCCTTGAGCAAACCTACAAGTCACACATCCATGAAGCTCACCTTGACAGGCTGCATATATATGAGACCAGAGGAGAGTCAAAACTGCATCTCCTGATCAAAATGCCTCCACCACTACCCCAATTTTGCTTCATTCTCCATATTCCCTGAATGAAATTTGTCCTGCCAGAAGCTGCCTTTTATGTTTTCTTGGACAACAAATTGCTCTTCTAAGCACACTCATAGGTTCCCAAAAGGGACGAGGGATGTGATTGAAATGGAATCCATAGATGCTATAGGGAATAGAATTCAGGTCTTGAGTGGTCCTAACCTTGAGGTCCTTGACCATGGAGGAGCATCTGGAACACAGCTCCCATCCCTGAACTCTCTCTTAGGACTGACCTCCCTCTAAGAGACATTGGATACAAGGGATTTTGCCTCATGTCTCTCCTGTGCTGTTCACTTGGCCATGCTACTCATGATTAGGAGCTCCTTTCCACATCCAGCTCTGCTGTGAGCCACCTGTCTCTCTGCTGTGGGTCCCCACCTGCAACTCCATGAAGGTGCCCTTCCCCCTCCAAGGATGCTGCTCCTTCCACATAGTCAGAAGGAAAGAGATGAATGTAGAGAAAGACATGGCTTCCTAATTTAAATTTTCCTATTATTCTTTTCCCCCTTTATGTTTTACATCATAGACATACATGTCAACGTGGAAATATGTGGATTTTTTTTTCAAGGTTGGGATTATTAAAATACATTTCTTTAACTTCTATCAGAGTCTGCCTTGTGGAGTACAAGGCTTTTTTTGCTGCTATGTTCTAGTTAAATTCAAAACTCAAAATTATTACAACTTTGCAAAAATAATAACAGGAGGTGAAAGGAATTGTTTCTTGAACTGTCCTGTCACTTCCATAATAAACAACTAACCTTGGTATATCAGTTGCCTATTGCTACCATAACAAATTACCAAACATTTAAAGTCCTGAGACAATGCAAATTAATTTTCTTACAGTTCCAGAGGTCAGAAGCCTGAAATTAGCCTTATGCAGGTAAAATGAAGGAATCCTCAGGGCTGTAGGTATCTCAAGGAGAGAATACATCACTTGCTTCTTCCAGCTTCTAGAAGCTTGCAGAATCCCTTGTTTTGTGATCACATCACTCCAATCTCTGCTGCCATCATCACATTGCCTTCTTCCTCCTCTGATCTTGCCTCCCTCTTCTTAGGGCCTTTGTGATTACATGTAGGACCCCCTCAGATAATCCAAGACAATCTCCCCATCTCAAAATCATTAACTTCATCACATCTGCAATAAGGTAACATTTATATGTTCTGGGGATTAGGAATGCTTATATAGGATTGGAAGGTGTAATTTTCAGCCTACCACATTTGGATAAGTTAACCTCTCTGTAACTGCCTTTTCTGATCTTTAAAATGGAGTATTGACTTCAAAGGATCAGTGTTTATACCCGGAAGTGGGGTCCTGCTATAAAAGAAATGCTCAAAATATGGATGTGGTTGTGGAATTAGGTAATTCACAGAGGCTGGGAGCATTCTGCGGCACTTGATAAAAAATGCCTAGATATCCTTGAAGAGTCTGTTGCTGGAAATTTGAATATTAAAGGTGAGATCTCAGTACAAAGTGAGGACCATGATATTGGACATTGGAAGAAACGTGATTTTGATACAACGTGGGAGAGAAGTCACTGAGTTACATTCTACTGCTGGGTGGAAAGAAGAGCCTGAAAGCAATACACTTGCATTTCCAAAGACAGTTTGGAGGGTATAGCTGGTTTCCCCTTGTAAAATGCAACAGTCAAGAAATGAGAGCAATGCATCTACAAGCCAAGGACCTCCAAGGGTTGCCAGCAGCCACAAGGATCTGGGAACCAGCAAGGATCCTCTCCAGCACCTTCAGAGAGAGCGTGGCTCTACCAACCTTTTGATGCTAGACCCCTAGAACTATGGGCCATACATTTATGTGGCTTTAAGCTACACCGTTAGCTTCGTCACATCAGCCCTAGGAATCTCATACAACACCTTTCTCCTTCCTCCAACTTTTTTCCTGCCTTCTTCATGTTCCATCCGCTCAGCATCCCAGAGATTTTCCCTTATGTCTGAGGTTATGATTACTAGAATAAATCTTCCCACAGCCACCCCCACATCTGGCCCAGGTGGACCACAGGGACTGCTGATGAGTGAAGTTATGGCTTTCTCAGAAAAACCTTTAAACTCTGCCTGACCCTGTCTCTCAGCAATGCCTCACTGCCCAGGGCTCCCTACCCTATAATCAGCTCCACCACATTCCCTTTAGTTTTACAGTTTTTGAACTCAGGCCCTTTATTGAAGAATTTAGTGGTTCTGAAAAGTATATGCAGCACCAACGCCCCCCCGCCCCCCCCCCCTCCGAATTCTTTCTCTTTGAGAGAGAAAGTGGAAATGAAGGGCTCCTGGACTCTTAAGAGAGTGGGCAGGCTACCAGGCTGGTATGAGCAAAGCAGGTACCGAGACCAACTCTTCCTGAGAGCATGTCTCAGGCCCACTGGCAGGAGCTCCCAAAAAACAACATATTCACAGAAAAGAATAAATAGTTTTACGAAAACTCACAGACAAAGACAACAGTATGGTGGCTACTAGCAGAAAGGAGGATGGGGGAGTGTAGGTGGTAAATGGAGTCAAATATATGGTGATCAAAAGAGACCAGAATTTTGGTGGTGGGAACACCATGTAATATACAGATAATGTACCATATGCTTTCACACTAGAAATACACATAATATTAATAACCATTGTCACCCCAATAAATTTTAATTTTAAAAAGTATAAATAGTTTCATCTAAAAAACAAAGTAGGGTCTCATTCTTTGCAAAGTAAAACAAAAAGAGCATTTGGGCATTTAAATAGGAGCCACCTCAAAGAGAAAGAATTTGGTTTTTTTTTTTTTTGGTGCTGCATATACTTTACAGAACCACTAAATCCTTCATTTAAACAGGAGCCACCTTCCTCAGCCGGCAGCACACAATGCTAATGTATCTGACAGTGCGTCCCCTTCTGTTAACATCAGTGACACTGGTTTTGTTCCATGAGCGACAGAGCAGATTGTCACATTAGCACATCAGCACTAGTGTCTGCCATTAATACGTGAAATGCAGTCAGGAAAGCTATGTGGGTCTGGTTCTGCCACTAGTAGCATCTACGGTTTTGGACAAAATACTAACCCCTCTGAGGCCTGGAATCTCTACAGATAAGAAGATAGATTAGTGTCAGATCATCTCAGTCTGATGCCTTCTAAGGAATTAAACCCTACACCAATATGTGGGCCTTGCCCCATGAGAACAAGTCCTCAGACTCTCCCACTGGTTTGAATCCTGAACCCTGGCTGTTTACCAACACTTTCTCTCAGATGTTCAGATGTTCATTGATTATAGTGATAAACCTGTGACAGGGAACAGATTTCCTCATGGAAGACCACTTGGAGGGACCAGTCCTGGAACTCTTGGCTTGTGGGGTATGTGTGAAGGAGCAATACCACTGTGGGCCTGTGCTCCCATGCTTTGAGTGCCTGGGGTCATCAGAGTCATGTATAGTTATAGACAGTGACAGATCCCAGGCCCATCATTATGTGGCATCAACGGCTGGGAAGGCAGGAAGCAGGGAAGCAAGTGTGCTTTTCCCACACTCTCTGCCACTCTCAGCACACCCTCCACTCCCTTCCTTACTCATATGAAAAGACTTTTTAATCCTCTTTCTCCAAAACTCATTCGTTTGCCTGGACAACCCTGAATTCTTAACCCTTCCATCACCCTAGAGGCAGAAGAAGAGGC